GAAGCGTTCAAGCCCCGCATTCCAATGCTGGAGCAGGAAAGCTTGAAATACCTACCAAAACACATGAATACAGGCACACTGTCAGTATGGCATGGCTCTGTGCAGGTATTAATGAAGTTAAGCCAGCTAAATCCAAACAGCCAATCAGCAAGAAGAATAGAGGAAAGCTGCATGCCTATTGGTTGATGCCCTGCATTCCATTGTGATGACTCATGCCCAAACGTGCACACTGACACAGTAGTACATTTGCTATATAATACAGCCAAAAAACTCAAATAAAACCATTCTAAAAGCCTGTATCACAAAAATTTAAAAAAAATGCCTGGGAGAATTTGCCCACTGTACCTCCATACCATATTCAGGTCCTTAGGACCCAAAATGAAGAAGCTGAATCCATTTAAAGAAATGGCAGGAGAAGAAGGAGGAGGAGAAAGAGGAGAAGAAGAATCATCAGCAAAAACAATATGGTTTCATTCGTGGTTTGGTGAAGCCATAATAAACTAGAAAGGCCAACATTTGCTTCGGAGCAAATGTAATATTTCACTCCATCTCCCTCCCCATACAAAAATAGAAGATTCTGAATAAATCATACTGCAATTATACAAGGACAAGCTTTTTGAATCTCGACAGATATTTACAAAAATGGCACTTGGCCATTATCTCCCTTTTTTTTTACAAAGATACAACGACAAGCACTTTAAATCTCGACAGCTTTACTTTACACTTATCTCAATTTCAAAGTTATATATTGCAGGTATCTAAATACTACTAATGACGAAATTGCAACTACTACTAACGGTAGCAAAATTTTCACGGTCTGAGAAACATGGACATGTTCACGGAACTATATATTCACGGTGGTGACAGTTGCAGGAAAAAGAAAGTCCAGGAATTATTTCCTAACTGTAAAGATAAGTTCACGGTACAGAGGTGACAGTGAAAACCGTGAACATTGACCTCCCGCTTGCGTTACGTTGCGTTACAGTGAAAAAAAAATCGGGAATTACAGTAATCAATTTACAGAGTATGTTTGCTTAGTTTCCAGATGTTTTGTATGATTGTCGTAAACTTAGTTTTAAATTAACGAAAACCGATGCGCGCACAGATGCCATCCATACAATCAAATCAACATGGCCTTATTAACAATCACATAAACTATGAAGCCATACATTGAATAAGCTATACATATAATATGATTATCATAACCTTTATTTTTAAAATCATGCCAGTGAGCTAATTGCATGTACAGAGTGAAAGAAAGTAAAGTAAAGTAAAGCAGTAGAATTTCTGTACTAAGCTATGATAGTACTCCATATGATTCGTCCTCATCGTCATCATTCAATGTGGTCTATCTCTTGCTACTAGTGACTGGTAATACCTCTGTAGATTCTTCACACTGGCAGAGTACCGTACTCCTTCTCTCTTGTCAGCTCCATACTTTTGTGACAACATCAAAGTGATTTTGGTTTGTATGTTGGAAAAATACAAAAGACTAACATTCTAAGTTATTGACATTCTTGAGTAAGAACAATCAGTTTTTGAATGTTAAAAGCAAAACAACGAAAATAAAAAAAAATGTTGAAATTGTTAAAATGCAGGATTGTTAAAATTGTTAAAACTGATAAAATTGTTAAAAATGATAAAATTGTTAAAAATGATAAAATTGTTAAAAATGATAAAATTGTTAAAAATGTTAATATCCGATGAACTGGGGTTCGAACTCACAATTTCTGGGATTGCTGCCTGACGCGTTACCAACCGAGCTAACTCGGTGCGATACACATCACTCACTGCATTGTATGTCATATAAAGTAAACAGCATGGCGGTATCGATCGCCTCAAGCCACCAAGACTTTCAACTATTAACTACGGGGTTTCCTTCTTTATCAGGTTTGCTTTTGAACCACCTTGATGTTACTTAACTATCAACCCGGCTAGCAGAAGCCGCCGGCTCCTTTGATATTACAGCCGCTCCCTGTCCAATCTTCGAAAACTGTGGCATGCAAGCCTTCGACGCTCGCCAGGAAACCGTCTCGCGATGTTCTCAGCAACAACAAACGAACGCCTGTGCACTCTACAATTTTGGTGATTCTTCGGAGATCGATAACAGAACCTAGATAATACTAGTTGGTAAAGATTGCGGAAAATTTTGTTGATACCGTGACGCGCGAGTAACTTTTTTGTTTACACGCCGGGCGCAGGTCATTGACCTCCAACTTGCGTTGTTCCAACAGAGAAGAGCAAAATGTCTGGCTCCCGCAGAACGTACCGCACTCTCCCGCTGGACGTACCGCACTCTCCCGCAGAACGTATCGCACTCTCCCGGAGGACGTCCCGCACTCTCCCGAGGGAAGTCCCGCACAGCGTCCTGCACTCTCCCGCAGAACGTCCCTCGAAAATTGATGCGTATTTCGTGGCCTGTGCTGTACCTACCAAAACACTTAAGTTCATACTGTCAAAATGGAATGGCTTTGAACAGGTGTTAATTGAGTTAATCCAATCAAATCCAACAGCCAATCAGCAAGAAGAATAGATTGGTCTGCGTCAGGTTCATGCTTGCATGCCCATATATGGGCATGCCGCCGAATTTCTTTCTTATTACGTCACGCGCGTACGCCCCCACAGTACTTTCCTATGGGGACCGCTAAAAAAGCAAATAAAACGATTGTAAAAGCTTGTATCAAGAAAATTTAAAAAAAGCCTAGGGGTATTTACCCACTCTACCTCTATACGAAATTTCAGGTCATTTCGCCCAAAAATGAAGGAGTTGAATCAATTTAAAGAAGTGGCAGGAGGAGAAGAAGAACCATCAGTAAAAACAGTATTTCACTCCATACTGAAGTATGGAGTGAAATAATAAACAAAAGATGAAACCAGACCATTCATCAACCAAACACTGCATATTTATGACCTTTCCACTCGCACCTTTGCTCATCTCAATCACATTATAATATTCTAATGAACGCTTCACTGGGGGTATCTTGATCAGGTCTCAGACCAACATAGTAAGACATAGTGGTTTCACTGCCCTCAGGCAGTGGTGAAAAGGTTGTTAGCTGGCAAAAATTAATCCTTGAAGGAAAAATTATTCCTAAAAGGAATAATTTTTCCGCCGACCAAGATTTTTTTCCCTTTGTCGTCACAAATCTGTGTATCAAGGGTACGGACATCAGGTATGTGACAAATATTTTGTGTGTGTGGAATGAATGGTTTAAAAACGGGTGGACGGCATGCATAATAGTATTAGAGGTCACAGGTGCAAAGAGAAACGCACCATGTTGTTTTTGCTTCTCTCGGCAGCTGCCTGTGCAGCCTCAAGTGGCCCTCGATTTCCTCAGTGCAGGAAGGCTGGATGGCTTGCGTGTGTGCCTTTCACAGACAAACCGGGGATCGACTCTATCACAGGTGTATGTGTCGTGTGTGAGGTCCAGAATGAAGACGGTGCCTCTAAAAGTCCTTTCCGTTTTTTAGCTGGGGTAGACGAAGTAGCAATTAAAGGATACCCTTTTCATGTCATTTCGGCCGAGAAACTTGCACAGCTCGACAGTTCTGAGATCGACACCTTAGCTTTGATAGATGCAAAGATCGTTGATGTGAAGAACAACACCTTCTCTGAGTTTTCAAGGCTTAGAAAGATGAGCCTTGATTCTAACAGGTTAACAGATGTCAAACAGACCTGGTTCACAGGCTTAGAGAGTCTCTTTGCGCTGATTTTGTCCAACAACAGTATCAGGCAAATAGAGCCAGGGAGCTTCGTGCACCTAACTAGCCTACAACTGTTGGATCTAGGGAACAACCTGCTACAGGCTGTAGACCCTGCCTGGCTTAATGGATTAAAAGAAAGAAAGATTTTAAATCTGAGGTCGAATGCGATCAATAGTATTTCGCCCGGATCATTCAAAAGCCTTCAGCTGACCTGGTTAGACCTGAGAGATAATGATCTGTCATGTTTGGATGAAGACGTGTTGTGGGGACAGTCTTGGCTGTCACGTTTTCATGCCAGCAGTCGTGTGTTGTCTTCTGTCCCTGATACAATGCCTCATGGAATGATATGGGGGCTAAATCGGTTAGCAAATGTTATGAGAGGGTCAGTAACAATGGTCGTTGAGGTGCCTAAATTTCTCTTCTGTGTCAGACAAAATGCTAATGAACTCTCGTTTGGGTGGATGTTTAATTCAACAGACAATGTGATGGGTAACATCGATTTTAGTGCGGTTAATATCAACCCCGGTAGATCATGTGGTGATTTGGACAGTTCTCTGAGCACGATCTCCATCCAGGCCCCTGTAGTTGTTCTTGCTTCCAAAGCCTCTATGGCAGACAAAATGGACACCAACGCGCCTGAGCTGTGCAGGCAGGTTTGGGAATACGATGGTGGCATTGCAGTGGCTTTGGTGAGAAACTTAATCTTCCGACTGGTTTCTATGGCCACAGGGAACACAACATCTGAAGGCGTCGCCGTGTCGTTTGTCCAGATACCAGATACTAACAAACACACCACCACAGAGACACCAGGCAGCCAGAAACACACCACACACACTACATTCACACCAACCAACACAAAAAACATCAACTGCATTATTCTAAGTAGGGGTCAAGTCGTGAAGTTGTATTTTACCGTTCCCTTGATCACAACAAAAACCTCTCATGAATTAGTTACTAGCCCTTCAAGCAGTCCGAGACACTATTTAGAAACTACAAAGAAAGATTACACATCTACAAAACCAAGATACCAGTCTACCCTCCAGATGAGTTATACAACTGTGCAAGATCTAGAGGTGGTTCAGGCACCAGATCGTGTTCTCATCCCAATTACTGTCTCGACAGCGGTTGTTCTGGTCATGTCGTTCCTTGCAGTGTTGTTGTGGAGATTGTGTGCAGAATGGTTAAACTCTGAAGATGACAGGGCCAGCGACGATACACACGTTTGGACAATTCCCCCTGGCGTTGCCTTCCCAGGCTTACTGAGGTCTGCTTCTCTCCCAACATACTCAGACAAGATGGCGTCGAATGACGCAGTCTCCTGTAGGTCATTGCCTGCCGTCCTGCATTCCATTGAACCTACTTATAGCGAGATCCCAGATGATGAAGCGTGTGCTCATGGGGAAGTACATGGTCTCCAACATGTGCCTGTCCCAACACATACCTACAGTGAGATCCCAGATGATGATGCTTGTGCTCAGGGGCATCTGCGTGGTTTCCAACATGTACCTGTCCTAACACATACCTACAGTGAGATCCCAGATGATGGGGCTAGGGGACCCATTGCTTTTTATTCTAATTTCGAGTTTCCGCTTTGTGCCGACGGAAATAGGCGACAAGACCGACGGCTCCTTGGAGGCAACCGCACTACTTCCAGCAGGCAACGGTCTGGAAGCTCCATTGCCACATATGGATCGACTGGACAGGCCAACGACCAGCGTAACCCCTATTACAGAAACCCCTCCCTGGCCCAAGGTATAAGAGCCCGTAGACAGCTGAGGACAGCTCTGGTATCCCGGCCCGACCAAGATGTCAGAACGTACGTCAACGTCACGGATGCTATCATGTCCGGATGTATTGACATCAGAAGAGCTCATATCGCATTCCTCACACTGCCTAACACCTACTGGCCATGGGAGAACCTAGGCCAGGGTTCACGTAGCACAGCACAGTGTGCATCCCTCCCCACTGTCACACTACCTGACACCTACTGGCCATGGGAGATCCCAGAGGAGGGAACCAATTTCACACGACGACCTGTGTCCCTTCCCACCGTCACACTACCTAACACCTACTGGCCATGGGAGATCCCAGGGGAGGGAACCAGTAACACACCACGGCGTGCGTCCCTCCCCACTGTCACACTACCTAACACCTACTGGCCATGGGAGATCCCAGGGGAGGGAACCAGTAACACAGCACGGCGTGCGTCCCTCCCCACCGTTACACTACCTAACACCTACTGGCCATGGGAGATCCAAGGGGAGGAAACCCGTAACACAGCACGGCGTGCGTCCCTCCCAAGTGTTACACTACCTAACACCTACTGGCCATGGGAAATCCCAGGGGAGGGAACCCGTAACACAGCACGGCGTGCGTTCCTCCCCACCGTCACACTACCTAACACCTACTGGCCATGGGAGATCCCAGGGGAGGGAACCCGTAACACAGCACGGCGTGCGTCCCTCCCCACCGTCACACTACCTAACACCTACTGGCCATGGGAGATCCAAGGGGATGGAAGGTTGATGGCAGATAGCTATGAAGCGAAGAGACAAGAAAAGGCTTTGATTTAATGTTTTTTCTTACTTTGATGCAGTGATATGTGATGCTGGCTGTGTATATGTGATGTTCCCACTGAATAAAAACCGTTTGAACAATGATTGAGTCAAAATTTTAAAATGTAGGAACCTTGTTTTTTTCGGCCCGCCTTGTTTTTTTTCGCCCGCACGCATTTGTTTCGGAGTCTGAGGAGGATGTCATCCATAAAATTTACTTGCTGTGGCCTAACACCTAGCTACTGGCCATGGGAGATTCCAGGGGAGGGAATCCGTAACACGCCACGGCGTGCGTCCCTTCCCGATGTTACACTACCTAACACCTACTGGCCATGGGGTATAGGGGAGGGAACCTGTAACACAGCACGGCGTGCGTCCGTAACACCTTTGGCCATGGAAGATCCCAGGGAAAGGAATAGGTAACACATCATAACCCTATTCCTTTAATTCTGCTAACTATTTACCAACTATTTTTCAGGCTGCAAAAAAAAGTTGTTACCTTCGCAAAAAGGGTTATGTTTCGGTGCCATTAGTGTGTTTGTATCTTGTTTGTGTTTGTGTGTATGTGTGTATGTGTGTGTGTGTGTGTGATTGTGTGATTGCGTGCGTGTGTTTGCGTGTGTTTGCGTGTCTGTGAACAAGATGACTTGAGAAGGCTTAAATGTATTGTCTTGATTTTTGGTTTGTTGGTAGGTCCTTCTAAAACCTTAAAAATGATCAATTGTACAGCAGCAAAAAATGGATACATCCTACCCTTGAATTTGATCGTTGGCGGCAGATCTTTAAGGTATCATCGTTGGAGACAAATGTTAACTAACCTTCTAAGATTCATTGTCAGAGTGAAAAGATAAAAAAAACTGTCAAGTGGAAATTGTCACAATCGACAAACGGACTTCCTTTTTGTAAGAAAGAACATCTAATCTTTACCTTTATTTATCATATGATTGTCTTTCTTGTTTTAACACTGAAACACGTGTTTTCAACCTGTTTTATGGTTTTAAAAGAATTGACAAAATGCACCAAGCTCTATAGATATTTTCTAGTATTCCACCAAGATATTTGGTAGCATAGAGGCTTTTCGAGACTTCTGTTTCATGTCCGCCCACACATGTGCGATCTCCAGACTAACTATTACATTGGCTAGACTGGATGCCAGCCTTTTGAGCTTTAGTGTACTGGACAGTTTACCTGTCAAAAAAAAGACCACCGCCCACCATCGGTTTGTCTGGGTCAGCACAGCTAGCTCATGACGTAACGTAATCACCAGACGGACAGAATGTTTTGTGCCTTTTGGTGGGAAAGTTAAAAAGGCTGGCATCCAGGCTATGAAACCTTAGCATGAATTAGTGATGTGGAACACAAGCAAAGTCATTCATAAGTGCGCATTTCGTGATTTTCCCGATAACTATACTTTTATTTATTTATTTGTACTCTTAAAGCAGTGGTTTGTTTTTCGCGTGTTTTAGGCTTTTATATAAGGCGTTCCTAGTTGTGCTGGTGTCTTTTTTCCCCGTTGGTCGGGCACGAAAAAGATACCAGTTCACAAAAGAAAGCCCGTTTAAAGAGCCTAAAATCACGCCAAAAATAAGCCAGAACCTCTGCTTGTAGAATATAAAACATTGACGCTTTATAATAATGAAGACTGAGCTCACACAAAATTATAAAACAATAACAGCGAAAAAAGCTAACTGTAAGATTTATGTTTTTGTTGACCAATTAGAAGGCTCCCCATTGGGTACCAGGCCGTTACTTCAAAAGTAGTCGGTATTTAGAATAACTGAGCACTTCTTGGACCATAAGATTATACAGAGGACAGGGCACTAACAATAGTGTTCAGACCTGCAGTATCTATTAAGTGGAGTTATCTATTAAAACGTGTTGTAGTTTATTTTAAATAATTAAATTGAAAATAGAATACATTTAAAAATATAAATAAAATCAAAATTAAAAAAGACTTGATATAATTTGGACACCCTCACTAAACGTGGTACTGTTCCAATGTCACGTGGTCACCGCAGATGATTACCTATAGACGATGTTTTTTCCAAGCTATCTCGTTTCATAAAACATAGAATGTGATGTGTTTTTTTTCAGCTATGAAGGAATTTTATAAAGAAATGTGCGTCAAATACTAGAAATTCAGTCATTTGGATAGGCTATATGATAAAAACATTTATGCCCCGCCTTATCCTCTGCGTAAATGGTGAGATAATCCCTTGTAAGGTGTGCTAACCACCTCATAAACCACCTCCTCCGCTACGCTCACTCGGTGGTTTATTCGGTGTATTTCTCCAGGGATTATATCACCATATACTTTGGGGCGGGTAATTAACTCTTTAGTGAGCTACATTGTGCGTAGGAAGGCCTTTTATATATAGCGTAGCAGCCAGTCCAACACGGGGAAGGGGGCTATAATGAAACCGTCCAGAAATTTGTCAGCAAATGGTCTGCAAAGTCTAAAATATTATAACATAGTAGCCAATGAGCTGTAACTGTAAATATTGCAACTATTGTAGAAAAATACAGCAAAAAATTTCAGTTAAGGAATATTTGAAACAAAAAACAGCTTGTGGTCATATTTCAACTCCTCAACCCAACCACCGTCAAACCCCAGACATATCAAGGTATAATTATGGACTGAACCTAAATAAGCATGTAGTGATCTACATGTAGTTTCTGGATCACCCATCTAATCTGCAATTCGAATCTATACAATTGCATCTTAAAGACTCCACCGTTCCTGAAGAAGGCAGTGCTTGCCTGTGATTGAGAAAACCTACCACTGTGCTAACTCAAGTGTCTCATACACTCCGTTCCACTACAGAACTGGTCTGGTGCGCCGTATGAATATTCATACTGCATTGTAAGTGACGTGTTCTCAATGACATAGATACTGGCGACTAGATTGTACCTTATCCTCTGTGTAAATGGTGATAATCCCTGGTAAGAGTAAGGTGTAAAAACCACCTCATAAACCACCTTCTTCGCTACGCTCACTCGGTGTTTTATTCGGTTTATTTTTCTAGGGATTATCTCACCATATTCACTTCGGCGCGGGGCCAAAAATGAAACCGTCCGGAAATTTTTCAGCAAATGGTCTGCAAAGTCTAATTGTATTATAATATAGTAACCAATGAGCTGTAAATGTAAGGCATCAAAATATTATAGGAAAATACAGCAAAAAAACTCAGTTGGGGAATATTTGAAAAAAAAAAAAACTTGTACATATTTCAACTCCTCGATTCAGCCACCGTCAAACCCCAGACATATCAAACTATAATTGTGGACTGAACCTAAATAAGTATGTAGTGATCTAGTTTCTGGATCACCTATCTAGTCTAGAACTCGAATCTAAACAAATGCATCTTAAAGACACCATCGTACCTCAGGAAAGCAGTGCTTTGTACGTCTTAGCCTGCGATTGAGAAAACCTACCACTGTGCTAACTCCAAACTCACAAAGTGTTTCGTACACTCCGTTCCACTACAGAACTGGTCTGGCGCCGTATGAATATTCATACTGCATTGTAAGTGACGTGTTCTCAATGACATAGATACTGTTGACTAGATTGTACGTTATCCTCTGTGTAAATGGTGAGATAATCCCTTGTAAGATTAAGGTGTGAAAACCACCTCATAAACCACCTTCTTCGCTACGCTCACTCGGTGTTTTATTCGGTGTATTTTTCCAGAGATTATCTCACCATATTCACCTCGGGGCGAGGTTAAAATGAAACCGTCCGAAACTTTGTCAGCAAATGGTCTGCAAAGACTAAAATAATATAACATAGTAACCAACGAGCTGTAAATGTAAGGCATCAAAATATTATAGGAAAATACAGCAAAAAAACTCAGTTGAGCAATATTTGAAAAAAAAAAAAAACTTGTACATATTTCAACTCCTCGATTCAGCCACCGTCAAACCCCAGACATATCAAACTATAATTGTGGACTGGACCTAAATAAGTATGTAGTGATCTAGTTTCTGGATCACCTATCTAGTCTAGAACTCGAATCTAAACAAATGCATCTTAAAGACACCATCGTACCTCAGGAAAGCAGTGCTTTGTACGTCTTAGCCTGCGATTGAGAAAACCTACCACTGTGCTACTTCCAAACTCACAAAGTGTTTCGTACACTCCGTTCCACTACAGAACTGGTCTGGCGCCGTATGGATATTCATACTGCATTGTAAGTGACGTGTTCTCAATGACATAGATACTGGCGACTAGATTGTACGTTATCCTCTGTGTAAATGGTAAGATTAAGGTGTGAAAACCACCTCATAAACCACCTTCTTCGCTACGCTCACTCGGTGTTATATTCGGTGTATTTTTCTAGGGATTATCTCACCATATTCACTTCGGCGCGGGGCCAAAAATGAAACCGTCCGGAAATTTTTCAGCAAATGGTCTGCAAAGTCTAAATGTATTATAATATAGTAACCAATGAGCTGTAAATGTAAGGCATCAAAATATTATAGGAAAATACAGCAAAAAAACTCAGTTGAGCAATATTTGAAAAAAAAAAAAACTTGTACATATTTCAACTCCTCGATTCAGCCACCGTCAAACCCCAGACATATCAAACTATAATTGTGGACTGAACCTAAATAAGTATGTAGTGATCTAGTTTCTGGATCACCTATCTAGTCTAGAACTCGAATCTAAACAAATGCATCTTAAAGACACCATCGTACCTCAGGAAAGCAGTGCTTTGTACGTCTTAGCCTGCGATTGAGAAAACCTACCACTGTGCTAACTCCAAACTCACAAAGTGTTTCGTACACTCCGTTCCACTACAGAACTGGTCTGGCGCCGTATGAATATTCATACTGCATTGTAAGTGACGTGTTCTCAATGACATAGATACTGTTGACTAGATTGTACGTTATCCTCTGTGTAAATGGTGAGATAATCCCTTGTAAGATTAAGGTGTGAAAACCACCTCATAAACCACCTTCTTCGCTACGCTCACTCGGTGTTTTATTCGGTGTATTTTTCCAGGGATTATCTCACCATATTCACCTCGGGGCGAGGTTAAAATGAAACCGTCCGAAACTTTGTCAGCAAATGGTCTGCAAAGACTAAAATAATATAACATAGTAACCAACGAGCTGTAAATGTAACGCATCAAATATTTTAGGAAAAGACAGCAAAAAACTCAGTTGAGGAATATTTGAAAAAAAAAAAAACTTGTGCTCATATTTCAACTCCTCAACTCAACCACCGTCAAACCCCAGACATATCAAACTATAATTGCGGACTGAACCTAAAGAAGTATGTGGTGATCTAGTTCCTGGATCATCCATCTAATCTGGAACTTGAATCTAAACAATTACATCTTTAAGACTCCACCGTTCCTGAAGAAGGCAGTGCTTTGTACGTATTAGCCTGCGATTGAAAAAAAACTACCACTGTGCTA